AGTGGCATTTTTAATAACACTAACAAATTAGCGTGGTATTTATACAGTTGAAGTTCTTTTTGGTAGATGAAAAGTAAAAACGTGTTATACTTTGGATTTGACAATAGGGATTAAGAAGAAAAGATGCTGTCATAGTTGTAAAAATGTAGCAAATTAAGGTATAGTCGAGGTGTTCACTTACCGACATCACTTTTATACTTCATCTGGTGTTAAGGTCACATGGGAAAACAACCATCTGTAGTAGAATACCTTTCCAGTTGTTGACAGCCCAGAAATTGTTTTATAAAAAAAATAATGGGCTATGGTCATCCAAACCTCTCTTCCTAATACTTGTTGACACTTGAATGCTGTATTCATTTTTTTTTCTCACAACAAACAAGTAAGTGATGATTCTCTTGGAATAGGAATTAAGAGGACCGCAGACATTTTAGGGCATACATTTAATACTAGAAGAATGCCTCATATAATACTCTTGATAGCAGGCTGTAAATTGAATCCACTTAAAATGATCAAAAGTTAATCGAGCTACTTACCATAGCTCTTAGAATTGGTTTTTAAATTGATTTTCAACAAGCCAAATTATATCCTCTGTTGGAGCATGGATTTTATCACACTAGAGATGATACCTTTTTGGAAAATAAAAAGGTAATTAAGTCTTGTGACTTAGCAATTTGGAGATTAAAGAAAAACCTTCAAAGTAAACTAAATAGAAATTTAGTTTCTATGTGGTGGTAGTGTCAGGGGTGTGGGGTGGCGAGGAGGCAGGTAAAACTCACCTTTGAAGACTTTCTTCCAAACATTTCACAGTTACTGTCTGCTTGTGGTTAGAGTCAGCTTTTGTGTGTGGCCCGACCTGACTACTCGTTAGGACAGATGCTGTCAAGGACTTTGCCTACTTGTTACATACTTGGTGTTGATGGCCCAGAAGGAAGGCATGCGAGAGGGACAGTGGCATTTGTCCTCTTCATAACCATGACTTTAACCCTTCTCTGATTCTCAGAAGCTAAATTCTGAAGTGGTGATGGACATGGTAGCTCCTCCGGCAAATTGAGCTTCTCCTGAACCCTGACCTTTCTTTCCATCCTCCTCCTGGGTCGTGATATCTTTATTTCATGTATATATGCAGAGCTGGGGCCAGAATGTGTACCAGTTGGTAAAAACATTACTTTATGCAAATAATTATTCACCTTTGCTTTTATTCATGGATTAGTAGAAATAAAGATAATTTAAGACACATAAGATACATGATAGGAAATTCAGAATGGGAAATATATATATTAGACTGTCCTCAGGCTGAAAGTACTGTTCATAACATTCATGATATCCAAAGAAAAACCATTGTTTGCTTCATTGTTTAAAGTGCACACATGCAGAAAGATGTCTAAAATAGATTTTCACCAAAACATTTAAGTAGTTACATGTGGGGCACCTGGGAGGCTCAGTTGGTTGAGCGTTTGCCTTCAGCTCAGGTCATGATCCCAGGGTCCTGGGATCGAGGCCTGCGTCGGGTTCCCTGCTCAGCCGGAGTCTGCTTCCCCCTCTTTTTCTGATCCTCCTCCCACCTTGTGCTTTCTCTCTTCAAATAAATAACTAAATATCTTTAAAACAAATAAATAAATAATAAAAAATAATAAACAGTTAAATGTGGTTTTTAAGGAAAAGGAATAATAATTGACTATCTTTTACTTGTTTCTTTAATAAATACTCCGTTTCTATTAGGCAGTATGCGAATAAGTAAGCACTTGGCGTGACATAAATTTTGCATTATCATCCCATTTTACAGATGAGGAAACTGAAGTTTAGTGAGATTTAGTAGATTTGGGATCCTACACATACTAAGTAGAGTAGCCAGAAATAGAACCAAAGCCACCGATAAACCATACTGGGCTGAAGATCAGAATGGGAGATGCGTCTACTGGGAAGTAAATTGCAGGTCAAGTTGTGAACCTCTCTGGATATTGGTGTAGCTGCCCATGAAGGAGTGACCTCTTTCCTCTCCCCATTCCGAGAGAACTGTTAGGACTTAAAGAGACTCTGCTTATAGGAACCTTCCACAAAAATGACCTCATATCCATTTTGGTTGTGCTATAAAATGTTTCTAGTCATATATTTTTTAGAAGTGTTTTCACATGAAACCTTTTAACTACAGATATTTAGGTGGTGAAATATTTGGCCTCTTTTTGGTCCTTCTCTATATTATTTTGTGTAAAAATTCACAACTATAATTGGAATAAGTCTAAATAGAAAATTAATATTGAAGAGGGAAGTCATCATTTTATCTTCCTTTTACAGAGCATCAGCTTTGATTCAGTATTTGTTGAAAGAGTGAGTGAATTTGGAACTAATCTCCCAAATGTCAGGTCTGGATTCCTGAAATATACACTGTTGTTACTCTCAACAGTATGAGTAATTGGGAGATGATTAACTTTACCTTTGAAAACATGATTATTTTCTCTAGTCTAGTACACAAGTTCACTCATATTGGTCTATTTGTAAGACTCTAGTGTACCTCCTTGACCTTCGGTTATGTGAAAGGGATCAGTGAACAATACAGCAAAACATTTTATTTAGTTTATAAAGTGAAGTTCCAGAAATTGTTCCCTTAGTCAACTGAGAGCAATATGTTGGAAGAAAACTCTAGAAACACATATGTGTAGAAAGCATTTGAAAGTAATTATAGGAAAGGAAGGCTCATTAAAGTCAGGAAAAGTTGATGATTTTTATTTCCATTTGATTTTTTGCCATTTATTTTTAGAAACAAATCAGGAAGATTCAAGTATGCATAGAAAAAAATTACTCAGTATTATGCAAAGTTACTTTCTAGAAATTTTTAATCAATTTCCCTTTCTCTGAATCAGACTGTTGGTACCATTTAAACACAGTATGATGCCAAATGAGTAGGCAGTTTCCAGGGAATATAGTCCAATGATGTCTCTCCCTTAACATCTTGAAAAGTGTAAAAAGAGTTATCCTGTGAACCACTCAGCACATGTTTGCCCCTGAAATAGTTCAGCAGTGGAAGTAGTAACATTTTCATTGGTCATCTTTTCAAAGAGCTTATAAGTGGGAACTATGACTGTGTGGAAAGAGAACCTTTCTATTAGGGAAAACCTGCACAATGAAAACTTCTACCTGATACCAGACCCCTACTCGAGGGAGCGCCTCCTCGGTCTCTGTACCAGACCATAGCTCTTTGTACATTACCTTTATATTCACCTTCTTCCGTGCTCCCACCTCCCCTCAAAATTTTCTCTATCCTCAGAACTTGCATTTGCCTTTATAAATATACGCTTTCTGTGTATCCTCTTACTTAAAGGTATGATAATTTTTTTAAGTTTCATTTTTATTCAGCTGTAGCAGTGCATTCCTCTAAGCCATTGGAATTTCCTCTGAACTGATTTGCAATGTGTTTGGTGTTTGCTAGCAAATTTGGAACATTTCAGTTTGTGTCCTTTCTCCACATGGTATAAGATCTAATTACCACTCAGCATGAAACAGCAGCTGAAGTGAAAAAGGCAGCAAGAGAAGGCCCTGGCTTAACTTAGAGCTAATCAACGACTTCCTTCTTACATACTTCCCAGAGGCAAAGAAAAAGGGAGCTAGCACTCATTAAAGTAACTCATGTATTAAACATTTTTTTTCCTTCCTTGATCTTAACTGAAATGGGGGATTTGTTCAAATCTTTATGGAAGCAAGACATCAAATGACACCTTTAATTTGCATTAGTAGTCACAGATGCTTCCTTCAACTGTGCAAAATGTTTTCATCATCAGGGTTGCTAAAAGTAGTCCCATCATATTTTCTTGACATTTAAACAGATAAACAATATTTATGGGAATCAAATAAAATCAAATGAATGGTTAATCACTTTTACTCAATTTTGAGCTTTTGGATCCTGAATTTGTCTTAAAAAGAACTTCTAGGGGCACCTGGGTGGCTCAGTGGGTTAAAGCCGCAGCCTTCGGCTCGGGTCATGATCCCAGGGTCCTGGGATCGAGCCCCACATTGGCCTCTGTGCTCAGCAGGGAGCCTGTTTCCTCCTCTCTCTCTCTCTCTGCCTGCCTCTCTGCCTACTTGTGATCTCTGTCTGTCAAATAAATAAGTAAAATCTTTAAAAAAAAAAAAAGAACTTCTAGATTTATCTTTAAAGCGTGTGTCATCCTAATGTCGTTTGGGGCTTTTTAGTCTCTGGAATGAATGTATTAGGTAATCAACCTATCAGGAGGAAACGATGGGTATCTTTACTTTTTAAATTACTATGGTCTGAGTTTTCACTTATCAGATTATCAAAAATTTAAGAAGTTAGAGAATCTGTGGTGTCGGGCTGGTGTGGAAAACCATCTACTCCACCAGCGTTTGAAGAATGTGCTGTTACAACATTCTGGAGGGAAAGCGCCTTCATCAAAAATGGAAATGCACATGCTCTTTGACCTAGCAACGCCACTTGTAGGAACCTGTTGTTGAACACGTATGCATAAAAATGGTATTAAATAGTGGTATTACTTGTAATATAAACAGAAATATGCAGAGAAGTCATTAAATAGGAGAATATTAAACAAATCATGGCATGCCCATATCCAGGTACCTTATTCCTTTTGATAGCTGCTCTTAAAGTGAATGAAATACCATGTATTGATGAGAAATATTCTCTACATTATCCTATTACGTGAAAGGAGCAGATCGTTTTCTTCTATTTGTGCTTCAAAACGCAGAGGATAGAGATGTGTTTATACAACTTTTCTCCCTCACCTCCCTCTCACATAAGCATATATTCACACATCTATAGATAGATGGATGAAAGATACAAAAGAAACCGTTGGTAGCATTTATGTCTGGTGAATGGGACTATGGGTCTGGAATGGGAGGCTGGTATTTTTGGTGGGGGCAGCATACTTTTTTTGCGCAATTTGAGTATTTTTTTTTTTAGCATGTATATATATTATTTTTCAATTAAAAAGAAATTTCAAATTAATGACCAGGTCTGTTTTTTTCTGTTTTAGGACTCAGCCCAGGAGGGTGTTATCACCCGAGACATTCATCGTACATTTCCTGCACATGATTACTTTAAAGATACCGGAGGAGATGGCCAGGAATCACTCTACAAGATCTGCAAGGTAGGGCCCTCCACCTCGTTTTTTTCTAACTTATTTTACAGGGCCATATCTTAGGAACCCATTGTAAAGACTTTTAGATTTTTTTTCCTGTCTTCTTTTCTTAATTGCTCTGCGCCCTATTGATGCTAGACAGCCAAAGCCCCTTGCCAAGAACTCTCTGGCATGAGAAAGAATTCAGGAGCAAGGTATTTAGAGAAAGGGACAAAGATTTATTAAGACTAGAAGAAAGCTATTTCACGAAGTAGCTATCTCTCAGCCTAGATGAGGAAGAGACCCTCTTTGCCTCTAATGAAGGGTTTTAAGGTTTTCAAATTAGCTAATGGTATAGGGAGGGGCTTACTCTCTAACTTTGGGTTTATCATTTACATTGGGTGGTTAGTTTCATGTTTTAGGGTTGCAGAGTTACCTACAGGGAGCAGTTTGAAGAATGTTGAGCTTTTACTGCTGGAGGGAGTGGGGTTTTGTGGTTTTCTATGAGTCAAATTTTGTGACTCTTTTTGTGACTGCTGGCTTTTAGGTTAAAGGTCAGCCTAAAACCAGAATGACTTTACTTAGGTCAGCTTGTCTCTTGAGTCTCCATTCCCTCCTGCCTTAGTGTTCTCTGCTCAGCGCAGAATCCTGAAGGCAGTTTCCTGGCTGTATGTCCCATCAGGGAAGGGCTTGGTAAGGCCTCACTTTGGCTCTGCTGCTAACAAGAAAGGAACAAAAGGTCTTCTCAGGTTGCGCAGCAAAGGCTGTGGGGAGTCCTGATGACTGTCCTCCTGTCCTCCTGAGAAGATAATGGGGCAGTTGACAATTTTTGTCACATAAGGGTAAGAAAACAATGCGGTTTTTAAATACTAGCAAGTTCTCTGAAATTATTGGTGTATTCTAACATGTCACATTAGACATCTTCATGCAGTTTTTATGTCCCATTTTAAAATCTTTGTCCTCCTTATTAATAAACCTGGAAGAAAAATTTTTCCTGATTTTTAGTAAATATGCTCTGTGGGGATATAAAAGATTCTGTTTGTGTTAATGGAGAATAGTCATCAGATTATTAATTTTTCAAGGTTATATCAGGATTACAAAATAACTTTTTAAATCATTATTTATAGTTAACTCATATTGTCAGTGCTGATTGAGGCCAAAAGCTAAAAATTACAAAGTCCATTCAGCAAAGTTTTGCCCTTTCTCCTCAAATTTAAGATGCCTTATGAAATGTGGTGTGTATCTTAACATCGTCCTCACGAGATTACTACTGAAGATGAACTACACAAAAATCTTGTAATAATATGGAGGAAAAAGCAAATACCATGGCTAAGTTTATAAGTTATGTAGTCAGTTCCTGAATTATCAAATTTATCCTTTCATTGCGTAGCAAAATTTGCCAGTAAGTATTCAGGAGTACATATCCGTATCATTTTATATTTACTGATTTTTTTTTATATTACTTATAAAAGTACTTGCCTGCTTGCGATAACCAGGACTGATGCTTCATTTTGCAAATGGCATAGCTTTCATTAAACTCCTTCTTGCATATTTGTGGTTTAGCCCTTTGCCCACTCGTATTTTATCTTGTTTTTCTTTTCTTTTCTTTTTTTCCTTCTCTCTTGATGTAGCCATTTGGAGGATTATCATTCAGTGCTAGAAAATGCATAGATAACTTAAAATCTGAGAGTATACTGACTTCTGGAAAGTAATACATCATCTAGTTTTTAAAAATGCCACAAACCATTGAATACCATTACAAATGTATAATATACTCATTATATGAGTGTAAAAGGCAAAATTATTAAAAAAAACTTTCTACCAATTTTGAAATTCTATAAGCTAGTTAGCTTGTCATGGGTAGGGAAGATGTCAAAATTTATGTAGTTTCCTGGTTTATGGAGAAGCGTCTGATTTACGATATGTGGGAGAACATTTTCCCCCTCGCATTCAGCATATTTTCAGCCAATCAGTAACTTTTTCCTTCAGTTTTTCTCTGGCTGATACTAGAGAGCTTTTTCACGTAACCAAAGCAGATGGTTTTATGTGCTTGCAGCCTCTGACTTACAATTTTGCTCCCTTGTAGTAAAAGCAGTATTCCCCTCATTATACAATATTGACAGGAGAAATATCTGAACCAGTACCAAACACAAAGATAACATTTAAATAGCTGGTACATTGGGGCGCCTGGGTGGCTCAGTGGGTTAAGCCTCTGCCTTCGGCTCGGGTCGTGATCCCAGGGTCCTGGGATCGAGCCCCGCATCAGGCTCTCTGCTCAGCGGGGAGCCTGCTTCCTCCTCTCTCTCTCTCTCTCTCTGCCTGCCTTTCTGCCTACTTGTGATTTCTCTCTGTCAAATAAATAAATAAAATCTTTAAAAAAAAATAAAAATAAATAAATAGCTGGTACACTTAAATAGTTGACATCTTTGATATTGCAGATAATAATCCAACCATGAATTTGTTACACAGTGTTCGTTAGTATGTTCACATACCGCATGTAGCCACGTTAGATTATTAGTGTATACTTGCAACATGATTAGAGAGTTTTAAACCTCTAAGTAAAGAATATTGCAACAATGTAGCTCTAAAATACCTTTAACTGCTGAATATTTTAAATTACACTAAATTTTGTAAAAATGTGAACAAAATCATATTAAAAGCATTTCAGAATTCAAGATAATAAATAAAAATTGGTAAAGCTTGTAATGTACTAAAATATATATTACCTAAACATGATTTTATAGCACCCTTTGATAATGGGGGAGATCAGAAATGAATGTATCAGGGGCGCCTGGGTGGCTCAGTGGGTTAAGCCTCTGCCTTCGGCTCAGGTCATTATCTCAAGGTCTTGGGATCGAGTCCCGCATCAGGTTCATCCTTGTCTTGCTCCTGATTATTAAAAAAAAAAAAAAGTGCATCTAATGATTTACCAATCAGAATGATATATCTTATTCACATTAGCTCAGTGGGTTAAAGTCTCTGCCTTCAGCTCGGGTCATGGTCTCAGAGTCCTGGGATCAAGCCCCGCATCGGGCTCTCCGCTCAGCGGGGAGCCTGCTTCCCTTCCTCTCTCTCTCTGCCTGCCTCTCTGCCTACTTGTGATCTCTGTCTGTCAAATAAATAAATAAAATCTTTAAAAAAAAAAAATGAATGTATCAGAATGTGTTGGAGAGACCAAAATTTGCTGTGTTCTTGAGTGACGCAATTCCTTCTCTTCTGGATCTGTTTTTTAGCAGTTTAGTGCTCATGCAGGAAATCTCAGGTGGTGGTGTTAACTCACAAATAGGAAAGTGTACTTATAAGTACTTTAGAATTGAATATTCTTCTCAAGTTTGTAAATATACTTTCCTTGGTTTTTTCTATCCAATTTGAGCTGTAGTCTTTGACTTTAGGACTTTCATCCCATATCCCCAAAAGTTGCTAGATGTAAAAAGGCCACTGAATGTGGTCCAGCTGTCAATCATTTTTATTTCTAGAATCATATCCAACATCATACCTCACATTCTCAGCAATATGCCTTTGAGTTTCCATCCTGGATACTTTGCACAAACCTGAAACATTAATACCTTGATTTTAAAAAGTGGCTTCTTTATCAGTTCTTTTTTTGTCCCCCCCACATAATCTTTTTCGCGTCTTAGTGCACTGGCCAGAACCTCCATTGTAGGTGTTGAAAGGAAGCAATCATAGTGGACATCCTTGTCTTGCTCCTGATTATTAAAAAAAAAAAAGTGCATCTAATGATTTACCAATCAGAATGATATATCTTATTCACATTAGCAACACACTTAGAGTCCTTTTTTTATGCAGTGCCTTCCATGTGTTATAATAATTTCAAATTTACAAAGTACTTTCGCATATATTACCTCATTTATTTCTGATAACTTATCAGTGGAGCCTATACTAGAAATATAGTATGCTGTGCTCTTAAATTGAGACAGAGATTATTAGGAGAATTTCAATTATAATAAGCGTGGAAATCAATTTTGGTTTCAAGGATACAGAAGTCCGACTGTGGTTGAAAAGTTTTCTGTGGCTCCGGTGAAATGAGAAATGATCTGAACTGTCAGATTAAACGGAAGACTGTTAAAAACTTGCTGTCATGTTTTAATGGCCCTGCCAATTTCTGTTTTTGCCTCTTAATATCTTTTTCAGAGTAGGAGGAAATTGAAATGGCTCAAAGATTCTTCTGTTGTCATAAATTTATGTGTCGAAGTTAAACAGAAAGTATAATAGAATTCATAGGATTCTGAAAATGAAAAGTTTAGGGTTCTCCTACCTCCCTCCATCCTTCCCTTCCTCCTTCCTTCTTGTCTTTCCTATTAGTCAAGTCAATAACATTTTAAAATAGTGTCCTTGAAAGGAGGAAAAAAATACTAGCTCCCCAAATATCTTTAGCACTTTTCTATTTTAAATATGATATAAAATCTATTTTGAGTTGGGAGACAGGTTGGCACAGTTTAAAGGACTGAACATCAGGAAATCTGGTTCTTGATTCTTTTCTTAAGCAGACCTAAGACTATGGGTAAATCACGTTTTGGATTTCCTCCTCATTAAGGCTGTGGGGTCTGATAGGATTATTCTGATTTCTAGTTCTAATTTGCAGTGATTCTAAATGTTTAAATTTTTTTTTTCTTAAAATATAACAGATGAGTGCAGGATTGAACAATTCCTCTATCAGGAATAATATATATAAAATATAACTGTGTCTCTCAATTTCCAAGCTATAGGTGAGTATGATTTAACGTTTAAGACTTCACCTGGCTTTCGTTGTGTTTGGGTATGTGTTTCATGCACACATGAAATGGAATATGTTCAGTAATTTACTTTGAGATACACATCTCTTTAAAGACCTAAGGCCAGTCAGTCATAGTAATCAGTTAAAATATTGTTCACAACAGTATAGATTGAAGAGATGCTTGGTGTGCAATTTAATTTGAGGCATATTGCCTTTTCTAATTTTCTGATCAAAGTAACTGTTTTCTGAAAAAGAGGCTACTGCTGTGAATTGGATGGGAGGGATTGACTATATT